CACCGGGCAGGGGACACCCAGGAAGTACAGGGCACCGGGCAGGGGACACCCAGGAAGTATAGGGCAAATGTTTCCTTGGATCAGATGATTTAGCCAGCTGCCTCGTGTTAAATGTCAGTGGCTATGGAAGTATGACCCACATTACTGCTAAATATAAAGGCTGACATTTCGTAATGACATTTTCAGCTACAAGGGGGTTCATGCATAGTGATATTAATATAACATCAGGGGCTGTTGTGGGGGGGTTATATGGAGCAGAATCCCCCCGAAATACATATGCTACTTGAGTCTGAAATAAATGTATTTTTATTATTACTATTATTATTATTTACATGTGCTGGGAACAGGCGAAACACAAATGTAAGGACATTTTCTTGACGGACTCTTAATGTGGGGGTGCAGGTGGTAAAAAGCAAAGTTAATGACAGAAAAAAATAATCAAGCTTGTGGAAGCAAGACAGTCTAAACAAGAGATCAGAGTGAGCTACATGTTTGTAAACACAGTAAAGTGTAACTGCAAAGCACTGCATAAATAACATCAGTTTTCAAAATTGTGTTTCACAGAAGAAAATACCTTCTTATCCTGTACAGCTTCTTCCACTGGGCAGAGCTGGTGGTTTCTGTGCTTTCTTGCAGTCTGACAGACCAGACAGATGGGCTCCAGATCATTCTTACAGAAGAGTAGAAGCTTCTCCCCATGGAGACTGCAGCGAGATTCACTCTTCTCTGCCACATTTCTAACCCTCCTTTGCTGTAAATATGACTCCACAATGTTCCTTAAGACAATGTTGACAGGAGGATCCTCCCCGGAGGACTTCCTCCGGCATAATGGACACTCCCGAGAGCTGTTCTCTTTCCAGAACTTCTGCAGACAGACTTTACAGAAGCTGTGGCTGCACTTCAGGAGAACAGGATCCTTGAAGAAGTCTGAGCAAACAGAACAGCAGAGCTCCTCCTCAAGGAACGAATCTGCAGCAGCCATGTCTACAGCGCGTCTAAAGGCAGACAGGCGGGGGGGGGGGTTAGTTTCACTTCACTGTTAAGACACTATGGAGGGATTATAACTCTTTAATAAATAAATGATAATGTCATGAAATGTGAGCATATGTACATCTATCACGAAGATTGTTCATTTCTTCCCTTTTAAATTTAATTATAGAATTATTTCGTACAGGTTTGATGAATTAACATGACACAGAGGTCTGAGTGTTTCGAGAAGACCGCCTCTGGTGGATGCAGTTCGGAGCAAACGAGCAATGAGCACAGGTGGGTATGAGGGTAAGGAAAAGCCGCCCTGAATTACTACGCTAAGCAGGACCACAGGTGGGTATGAGGGTGAGGAAAAACTGTCCTGAATTACTATGCTAAGCTTCACAGGATCGCTGTCCAGGGGCACCTCTCCCTAAAGCTCCTGTTAGGAACTTACATAGTTGTACCCATTCAACTGGCAGCTATGCTTTCTGGAAAAGTACCCAAGGGTGGGATATGCGACAGTCAGATATGCCACAGTGAGTCAGATATTCCTGTTTGTCAGATATGTCCTCCTCCGTTTCGAAGTTTGCAGGCACATAAATGTTGTACTCAGAAAGAGCTACCATAATTGTAGTTTCTTCTTTCAGTTTGCTCTGTGAAGTCTGTTATATTACCGGCAGCTTACATTTCGTCTACATTAATAAGCGTTTTTCGTGCTAATTCAGCAGTAAGCTGTTCTGGGAGATGCGTCCCAAGACCAACTGGGAATAACAGGGAACCATCCACAGGCCCCATATATACGTAATTTCAATGTGCTTTCATAAGGTAACTGATAAATCAGGAACTGTAAGACGTACTAGCATTAAATACGGTAATAATTAGATACACTGTACAGTATTTTATAGTACTGTACAACTGTACTCGGACCACAGAAAGGGACTCTAATTTTTAATCTCAGTTCTCAGGAGACGATATAGCAATGAAAAATACATATTAAGCGATGGCAGGCCAATGAAAATCATGCTTTGTACACCCCCCAAAAAAATGAATGAATAATGAAAAACACATTTTACAAAAAAAAACACCTGCACCCACACCGGCCCTCCATGGAACAGGTTCCCCACCCCTGGTCCAAATGCATCACAGGCAGTAACATGCTGATAACGATTTATTAATCAGGGATTAGTGTAACAGGCTTTGACACTTCAGATGACATCGTTAGATAACATGAAACCCAAAATCTGTATTTTAACAGGTGACACCGTCACTGGGACATGAGGGACGTTCAGGCTCCATTACAGAGATTTACAGTTACTTACTGAGCAGATGCTTTTATCCAGATCATACATTTGAGTGGGGGGTCAGACAGGCGCCGGAGCAATCGGGGTTAAGGCCTCACTCAGGGGGCCGGCGGTGACATCACTCTGCTCACCCTGGGATTCGACCCGGCAAACTTCTGATCGTGAGGACAGCATGCTAACTCACTGAGGTACACAGGGCTGCAGATAGATGGGTTCGCTCTGCCCTCTAGAGCATCTCTGTCCTAATTCAGGCCCCACGTCACCATTTTTAAAATCATATTCAGAAAATCATCAATCATCCTCAGATTGGAAACACTGCTGTAGGTCAATAATTATCATGAAACTCAAAGTAAAAATCTCTTTACAGCTGATTATTAATGTGACCCCTTTCACTAGTACACTGGGACTGGTCCAGATAGCCTTACTGGGATGATGTCACTGTTACAGACACCTTTACAGGGATGACGTCACTGTCACAGACCACAGACACCTTTACTGGGATGACGTCACTGTCACAGACACCTTTACAGAGATGATGTCACTGTCACAGACACCTTTACAGGGATGATGTCACTGTCACAGACACCTTTACTGGGATGACATCACTGTCACAGACACCTTTACAGGGATGATGTCACTGTCACAGACACCAGACACCTTTACTGGGATGACATCACTGTCACAGACACCTTTACTGGGATGACATCACTGTCACAGACACCTTTACCGGGATGACATCACTGTCACAGACATTTTTAGTGGGATGACATCACTGTCAGATGCCTCGCTTCCACCAACACTGTGCTGGGGCCGGATATTTTCCCAAACCAGAACTAGTTCCGACAGTGAAACAACTTGCCAGCTTATTAACGGAATTACATTACATTGCTTTCTATTGGGTGGAAAATGAAAGATTGATTTGCTGGAATTATAAACATGTTGTGGGTCATAAAATTTAATATTGTGGCACTTGAGTAGCGAAGAGATCATGAGGTGGACAGCAAAGTTCTGCTTTTAGCAGCGTGTGTCATTCCGCGATCCTCAGAAGGAGAGCAGTAACACAGCAAGAGAGAATGAAGAATAACCTCACTGACACCAGTAAAATAACAGGAAGTAAGCAGGTAAACTGCAGGTAAAATGCAGCCTTGAAGGAGACAAAAGTGGATACAAGCAAAGCAACAGAGCGCATCGGGTCACACTCTGAAAGCGTGTTTCAGTTCGGCAGCTTAAAAAACCTTATAGACCGAAACACATAAATCCAGAAAATGGATACATATGAACCTTCACTCTCACTTCCGCCTGCGTAACATTTCTATTCTGAAATTTTTTGAAATCAGTGGAATTGCAGGCAGGTTCTCAAAAGGCAGTAAGCGAGAACCAGCCCTGCACCGGCATGGTGGAAACAAGGCAACAGACACCTTTACTGGGCAGAGCTTCAAGGCTCCAGTGTAGCTTCCATTATTATTTCCAACTGGTGAGAAAAATGGGAACAGGCTCCCAGTGAATGTGCCTTTAAAGGTGTAGATGAGTGACATGTCAGCGGGGTTGGAGAAGGACACCTCCCCCCTGTCATAGTCCAGCTGCACTCTGATCCTCTGCGGTGTCTTCTTAAGACTGAGGAGCGCTGGAGGTGAATCGCATGCTGTATACACATCACCTTTCTTCAGAACTATAACCCAGAATCCATTCTCTGGCTTGTATGTAATCCCCCCCTTCCTGTTAACAGACTCTGCTGCTACTCCTACATCCCACTCAGGTGTGTCCCCCACCTCCACCTCCCAGCTGTGTTTTCCTGAGTTAAACCCCTCAGATCCCAGCACCCCCACACAGGGGGAGAATCTCTCTGGGTTGTCAGGAAGTTGCTGTTTAACGCCAGTGTCTCTCACACTGGTCAGATCATCAAACACTGAGAGCCAGGGGGCTGCAGTGTTTGGGTCCAGAGTCACAG